AAAATGTATTTATGCAAAAAGGTGGATTTATGAGGAAATGATAATGATAAAATGAGGTAATGAAATCTAATGCAGTATTTCGTTGTTGAAAACCATACTGGTTTTTTTGGTGAATTCCGTGTTAAGATGGACCTTGCACCTGCATCAGTTTGGCTATGTGGGAAGCAGGTAAGCAGCAGTTTTGGTGCGTGTCCAGGGGTTCTTGTGCACACATGCGGCCCAATTCTCTCTGAAGTGCCCGGGACGCTTCCTACCAAGCAAATGTGCTTTTAGATTCAGGGGCACATCACTTGAAGCTGCGGTTGTGAAGAGAGATTAACCCCAGGATGGGCGTATTGAACCCACGTAAGCCCCTGCAATTTGCAGCAATTTGTGTTCTGGGGCCATGCTGCAAGTTAACATGTTTTGCTGGGTGCGAGGGAGCAACCGTGTCCGCTGCGGTAAGAAACCATGACTGTTTACAAGTGGAAACAGTAAATTTGTTTCCAGAAAAAGAAATTGTTTGGGTCCCAGCTGTAACAAGGAGCCCTGACACCTTTAAAAGCAAGGCATCTCCATCTCTGGATTCTTTTTTAGTGCACATTTCTAGCGCAAACAATATCTTCAGTTGCTAAATACATAGTACTTAGTGACAGAAAAATCAATTGCTGTTTGCTGATGAAATTCAATAGAACCTTATCTGAAGGTATAACCGTATCCTGGCCTTGCTGACATGACTAAGAGTCATACAGTGTTCTCCCATGCCACCTGAAGAAAGCTGGCTCATCCTCATAACACAGTCTAGCTTTTCTTTGAGAGAAGTCATTGGAAAGAAAATTCATATGAACAAGGCTTGTCTTTGTTCCGTATTTCTTCCTATCAAATTCTGGATGTTATTTTTTCGAGTTGTAGACATAGTTGTGGAAAATCTTATTGAATTTTGAAAACTCCTTGATGTACAAAATAGCTGTTCTCTCTGTAATGCCAGAATTTTAAAGTCCAATATTTATGCTGCTGTGGTTAGGAGAAAGCATTACATCGCTCAGAAAAGGAGAAATCATTATTTATTTGTTTTTAGTGATACCATCTTCCCACTGTTGCTCTTGAAGGCAAAAACCTTTCCAGGGAAAAGAATTTATTTTGCCTGACTTATCCATCAGATGAGTGCAGAAATTTAGAGTACTCAGGGGCTAAGAAGATGTCCTGCATCTGAGAAAAACAATGAATCCTATTACGCAACTTTGCAAACATTCAAGAAAGAAGAAATTAGGGGAGAGTGTAAGCTGGACAAAGCTACATGCCAAAAAGCAATGAAGAATGGGAGGGGTTACTTAAATACATATGTATAATTAAATAAATAAAATGTCTACCACAGGGTGGATGTTACAGTATGACAAATATATATATATGTATATATACACATGCACACAACGACTTAGACACCTGCATATTATGAATTCACAAAATTACTCAAATGATAGATACTCGATACCCAGCTGGCTATGCCACTGGGTCATAATGTGAACTACCTAGAAGGTGAAGGTTTTTAAATGACTAGTGTGACTAGTCATACTGAGAAATGTGGCTGCAAGGAAAGCCAGCAGCTTCCAAATGACCGCGATACTACTTGACAGACAAAAATATTGAGAGTTTTTCCCCATAGTCCATATTGCTAAATGAGGTTAAAAATAAATTTTCAGGTGGTAGTAACAAGCCCCTTGGGTTGCAGGTACCAGACCAGGAGGTGCAGGTTCCTTCACCCATTACAAAAATGCAAGTATTACAGTGTCGCAGAAGTATTCAGATATAGCAGAGCAACCCTGCAGTTGACACCTGCTGAGGATGCAAACGCACGTGCCTCCACATTATTTACAGATGACTGAAGTCAAACGCTATGCAAATTAACATATGGACCAAAGCTGAAAGGTTATTTTGCAGGAATGTCAGCAACTTCTCAGCCACGCATAGATCAAGTCTTTGATCCCCGTGCTTGGAGTAATCAGTGATACTCTTCTACTGTGAACTATTCATTTCACACAAACCCTAACGGTTTCCATTGTTTTATGAAATAACCTCAGCTGTGACAGTAATCGTAGAACTGTAGAGTGGCAAGCTTTACTGGTTTTGAAAGCAAACGCTTTTTTAAATACACACTTTAGAAAAACGTTCTTACTTGTACTTTTGAGTTAATAATCCAAAATATTGTAATTAGGTACTTCTTAACATTTTTATTTATTTTTCAGTCATTTTCTAAAATTACCAACATTTTAGTCAATTCATCAAATGACCAATTTCACAATATGCAAATACACACACAAACCCACAAGTATCTGTTCATTTTGTGAGCTACCACTCGCTTGCATAACAACGCAAAACAGTCCTGTATCATCAACTGAATAGAATGGAGTGCCTTGGTTTCAGGAATCCTTTCTGAATACAATATTTAGGCATATAAAAATCATCAGCAATTCATTACAAGAGAAGGCAGAGCTGGACCGGGATCGACAGCAGCATGCAGTGTACATGTCTGGTCATAGGCCAGGAGACGGTAACCAGCGGCGTGGCAAATGGATGCATTTTTTTTAGTATAGATCTGTATTTTCCTTTCAGGAGAGATACCCACAAAGAAGAGGAGAGACACTGACAAAGAAGGGGGAGGAAGAGATCTGAAAAAAGAGACATATTCAATAGGGTTAAATGCAAGAGCTTAGTAAGAGGCAGCCTCTTGGTGCTTGCAAATCTGAAGGGACTTGCAAGAAGGAATTAAATTGCCCCTGATGGAGAAGAACAGAGTAAAACCAAAGAGGGCTAAGGGCATAGAAAGGGAGCATGAGGAGACGGTGGCTGTTCCCAGCATTTCCACAGCTGTTTTGTGTGTGTGTGTGTGGTGTTGCACAAGTAACTCAAATCGTCATACAACAAAATTGTGAACCACATGTTATTAGTTCCGTTTTAAAGGAATGGGAGCTGGAATGACAAAGTTAAAGCACAGCTTTAAGTGTTTTTCAAAACACCCCCTAAAATTCAGAGGTGTTGAAAACTCAAAACTTCTTAAGTTTTGGGTTTTTTTTAAATTATTATATAGTATGAATAAATGCAAGAGGTCAGGAGCTGTTTTCTGGACATCAGAGTGTGTGGCATGGCATGTCTCATCTGTACTGCTGAAGTCTTTTCCTACAGCCAAGTGTGTCCTCAGGCACAAGAAGAGTCCCTGGCATGTTCTGCCCCATGAATTTGCTGGGTGTTACACGGGATAGTGCATAAGTATATCTAAGAGATTCTTAAAGATCACTATCTTAATGTGATAATGCTCTGACTTCCTCATCCTATCCAAATAACACAATTACCTACATTTTTTCCAATGTTTTATTTTTGATTCTGTCTTGTATTGCAGTACTGAGAGAAAATTAAGCAAGTACTGAGCTATGAATGATGCCAACCAATGAAGCTTAAGATCCCTCTCACTGCTTTAATCAGCACGTTATTCTCTGTTATTATTTTACTGTTGGAATTAAGAAGGAATCACAGCAAGCAGAGCGGCTCCAACTCACTGCTCAGTTTCAGGTGCGCTAGCACACGCTATTTCGTCTCAGATTTTCCCGCTACTTGTCCTGGTTGTGGCAAAAGGCAGGAGCAAGAGTAATTCCATCTGTATGTAAATGTGCATGAGAAGCAAATCCTGGCGTATAACAGTGTCAGCAATCCCATGTGGGTCTAAAGACACAGCAGACTTTGTTTTCAGTTCATCGTAAGAAGGCACACAGAGCAGTCATGGATAACAAGACTGTAATCTCCCTCCTGATTCTCTCTTTTTTGGGCAACTTTCCTGGTAAGAAAATTCAATTTATTTTCCTTTGTATTACAACTCTTCTGCAATATGGTTTAGCTAAACAGGATGTTTTCAAGGTGCATAGGACTTCCATACTCACGCTGTCTTTGAGGTAGTGTGTCAAGAAAACCATATTAAGAGTGGTCTGTCAGAGTGGACCTATTTCTTGTCTCCTACTGTTGTTCCGCTAGTGGACGTTTACTGACATTGGTGAGTTTATCCCTTAAATATTATGAGAAAAATGAGATTATAACCAGGGCCTCAGAAGTGATAGCCTACAATAACTGTGTGGCATATTGCATCGCTATCAGTTTTCATGCTGCTTTTATGGTAACAGGCCCTGAGATGAAAGCTTGGACTATTCAACTTAGTTTAATCACTCTATTTCCAATCAACAGCCATCTGTTCGAGCTCTTTGGTGGGAAGCATGAGGGTAAAAAAAAAAAAAAAAAAAACGAACTTTGCTGGGAAAGTACAAAAAGTGTTTTGTGGGCAGAAAGTATGCCAAGTTTAGGGGTCTGGAATGCTTCCAAGCCTCGGCACCATGTGGATGCTTGCTCCTACTGCGTCCTGGCTTCGCATTGGGATGACACACATCTTCAGTCTTTCCTGAGCCCAGACAGAGCTGGATGTGGCCAGCCAACCTCCAGGCTGGACAACTGGCTAACAGGATGCCTGTATCATTGCACACGCCTGTACTGCAGCCCTGACACAGCCTTTGGGAATCTCATTTTCTTCTCTTGAGCCTGCAGATGGGATGTTGCTGCTCTGCTGTGACGTTCTGTGCTTCCCAATGCTTGACTTTCAAGTGCGTTCGTTTCTGCTTTCTGTCAGGTAGGTAGGGAGGTGTCGCTCAGCCAAAAGCACCGGCAGACTCAGCTGGGCAGAGGATAAGTGAGGAAGGGAAATAGGTGGATGATCATAGCAAGGTACAAGAACTAGCACAGGGTGAGGTAACGGGGTTTGCTGTTCTGTCTTAAGGGATGTCAAGACTACCCACAGTAAGAGGACTGATGAACTGACTGTGATTTCAGCTCCTGCAGCCCTACTCATCTCAGTAAGAGTGTCCGTGTGCCCCACATCCATTCATCTGGAGCTTGTCTTCGCTTCTTGTTGATACTGCCCTCAAAGTACTGAATGTCCTCTTTCAAATATATTCCGTGGTTCATCTGCCAGGAATTTCAACGTGAAGATGCAGCTTGTCTTTGTAGGAAAAATGGACAAACGTGAGAGTTGTGACTGTGCATTTTAACCTGTGATATTTGATTTGAAAAGAGGAAGATATCCCAGTGTCTGCAGTGGATGGAGCTGGAAAAGCCCTGGGCTTCACGGCTTGGGATCTTGAATAACTTCCGTCACCTCTGTGGTGCTCTGCACTCAAACCCCAAAGCTGGGATAACAATTCTTTTTTTTTTGCTTCATTAGGGCAATGTGAGTCTGGAAGGACTGTCAGGCAAGAGCAAATTCAGTCCGTGGACTTGGGTGCTGTATGATGTGTGGCATAATTTAATCAAACTCCATCCCAAAGCTTGTTGGCTTTCTCGCTCCTAGTACTTGCCCAGAGTTGCTTCCTCAAAGGGCCCCACACCTTTCCTGGCATCTTGATTAAGCTTCTAAGTGGAATATTTTCGTGGCTTGTTTCACACCAGGTACCAGTGTGGAATTGTAGCCCAAAGAGGTTTCACCTCCAGACTGTATTCATGGGGAGTAGCCGTCTGCCTCTTCAGCTAGCTTTTTCTTCCTCTCATAAGATAGAAGCCCCACACTTCCCATAGCCTTTATCGCACTTGATGTTTTGGGATGCCAAAACAATTGTGGTAGCAACACGAACTTACAAATTGTTACCTGCATAAAGTCTGCAGATCTCAAATGCCCTGTCCTTGCTCAGTGAAGGTACTACCTTAAACCCATGAATAAGCACCCCATTTATACCTCGAGGCATGAAATTTTTACCCTTCTGCCTTCTCTAGTTAATTTTTTCATTGTTTGTTTGGTCCAGTTGCAGACATTATAAGCTTCCATTTCCTTTCCTCACAGAGATGATGCTGGCAGCGGAGCTGCGGTGTCACTGCATCAAGACTGTCACAGGATTAATGTTCCCAAAGCACCTGGCCAATGTAGAAATCATTCCGAAGGGCCCACACTGCAACACTGTGGAAATCATGTAAGTAAAGTCAGCAGGCAAGAGAAGTTATGGTTTACGAATGCAGAAGTTGGCAGCCCTTAATCTTATAATCCTCAGCCTTGTCCACGTCCTCCTCTGACTTCCTCAGGTGCCAGTATTAACTAAAGCAAAATGTTCATTCCACTGCAGAGCAACACTGAAGAACAGCCAGCAAATCTGTTTAGATCCCGAGGCCAAATGGGTGAAGATGATCATTAACAGGATTCTGCACAGGTAAATTCCAGGATTACCTAGTAACTGGAATTATTCCACCAAAGGGCATATTTTCTCCAGTATAAACATCAACGTGAGCAATCTTCAGTGCTCTTTCTCTGAGACTCATTTCACTAGTGCAGGGCTAGGAATACCAGAGGACTAGATTTAGTTGATCTTTGGGCAAGACATAAACAAGGCCTACCTGACATATCTCAGTAATTTAAAACACACAAACGGTTATGTATCATACTTATCAAACTAGTATATGGATCCAGGGTTCCTCGGCGTTGTGTTGAGCTCCACATTGCCAAGGGCAATGCTTGGGCTTTCTGGAGGAACAGTCTTGGCAGCCACAGGGAAGTGTTGCTTAGCACTGCCCTGCACCAGCTTGTCTGCCCAAGAGACGAGATGATCATTAGGACAAGCTCCTCTTGTGTCTGTGGGTGGGTGCATCTCCTCGGAGATAAATTACACACAACAGCTATCCGGGCAAACTTATCCTAGAATAGTTTCAAGTGACTTCTCCCTAGTGCAAATTAAACAAACATGCCACTAAAAAGAAACAAAAAAGAAAAGAAGTCTTTTATTTTCCACTAAAATTGCATCTGTTTTTGTCTGGTTTTGAGGTTTGTACACTAATCTCACTGTTTTGTGCCTGCTGTAATTCATTACAATACCTGTATTACAGTGCATCCAAGAAACGGCGTCAGTAAATAGAGGCATCTCTGCAAGCAAGAGAAAGCTGCACAGAAATGCCATTAGCCTTTAAGTGTCTCCAGGGTCAGGGTATTCAGAATCGCACTCTAGCTTTTTCTATCCTCACTGTTCTCCGTGCACAGACTGTTCATCTGCAGCAGGAAACTGCCGGGCTCAATAGGCTGTCACAACACTAGCAGACTCCTGTATTTTATGGCAAAATTTTACATGGTGCTTAACTGCAGAGGCATTCAAAGTGATATCCTAACCAAACCCTAGCCTTGCACTGGCCAGCTGGAAACCCCTGCACAGGTTTAGCAACACCACGGATTTGGCATTCACTGAACTGGTAGTTATATCAAATCATCTCTAAGCTTCATTCTGAAGGACTAAGAAGTACAGTTTTCTCTAGTTTAAGAGGGCTGTAGTTTTGAAAGTAAAGAAATATTAACGAAAGGGAATTCTTACTGAAGGAAAAAAAAACGGGAAAAGAAAGGGAAAAACAGGAATGTCTTGAGATCAATAAAAACCTTGCTTAGAGGCAATATGGTCAATGAAGTGAAGAAAATGCTGTAAGATTTCAGTGTTTAAAAACTGTTTTTTTGGTCTTATGCATAATAAATATACTTATAACCTTAAAACAGCGGAGTCACAGCAATTCTGGTTTTGCCACCAAGCTATCGATGTCACAAGGACTCTTTCCATAAAAAAGGTTTTTAGAAGCCATCAATTCAACTTTTCATAAAGGAAATGTGAAGAAAATGCGTATGAAGTGTATTTAATGTTTTCAAACATGCTCAGAGTTTTCCCACCTGCAAAACCATTGTTAGGGTTTATTCATAGAGCACCAGGGGCTGAATAGTAAGTAAACATTTACAATAAGTACAAGACTGTAGGCAATATTTTGAATTGCTATGTCTGTTTTTACAAGAAAATAAAATAGATTTTAAATTTATTTTCAGTAATGACAGTTTTGCCAAAATGTATTTCCTTTTCCCTTTAAATAACATATTTGACTACGGTCTTGTTTTTAAAATTACACGTGCCCGTTTCCCATCTGAACACAGGCGCATTTTTGGTTCTTATGTATGCAAGAGATCATGACATTATCCTTCAATACTAACACTCTATACTGTCAAAAACACATTTGAGAGACCATGTCTCAGCTGTGTAGCATGAGAAGGACTATATTTAAGGACAACCTGACTACTTAATAAATGAAAGAACAAACCAAACCAGGTTTGCCATTTGGACCTTACACTTACAGAGAACTGAAAAAGTAAGTATTTTCTGCAAGAAGAATTTCCTTCCAAATATATTGAAAAAGATGCCGACTTAGTCAACTAATTACAAACAAAACTGTTGCTCTTTTCATCAGTGTTTGGATTAAAAGAATATTTCTTTCAGTTTCAACTGAAATAAGGTAGCTTTTTTGGTTATGTTACTGTGCCAAGAGCACACACTCATACCACGCTGGTACTGGGACCGCATATGCACATTACAGTAGGAGTAGATAACGAAAAATGTCTGATAAACATAGTTTTGTTCTCTATGCTAAACCCAAAATTGCCATCTCAGATTCAAATTTTTGTCCCTGTAGACAGCCAGCGGCTGCACCGACACAGAGGATTAATACAATATAAATATGATGCAAAGAAACAGCAAATGAATCTCCTTCCAAGCCTTTAGGAAACAAAAAAAGCACCTGTGTCGCGAACGTGTGGTTGGGCCACTTAAAGAATCACCACCAAAGATATCAGAAAGCGAATGATTTTGATATAGATTTGTAAAAAGGTGTGACTTAACAGAATTCAACAGCAAGGTTCAGCCTCTTAACATGAGAAGGTATACTAAGAGAATCTAAGTTGCAACTAGATTGTAATGATTTACTTGTGGATCCAATCGGGTTGATGTGGATATTGAGGAGATAAAGTAGGGGAGACCCTCCTGTTGAGTTCACCAGGTTCAGAGTGGACCGAAATCCACCCCTAGTCCCAGACTTGGTCAACAGTATAGGTCTACGGATGGGGAAAGGGAAAGAAAGTGAGAGAGACCCTCCCACTGGGTCATGAGGTTCAGAGTGGACCGAAATTCACCCCTAGTCCCAGACTTGATCAATGGATTATGACTAAGGTTAGGTAAGGAAAGTAAAGGAATGCCCTCCCGTTGAGTCACGTGGTTCAGCGTGGACCCCCTTGCATTCTAAACTTCTCAGAGAGGAGTCTAGGTGTGGTTGAATCCACTCCTAGCCCCAGACTTGGTCAGACTCTGGCTGAATCCACTCCTAGTCCCAGACTTGGTCAACGGTTTATGACTAAAGGGATAGGGTATTGGGGATTCTGGTGTAGTGCCTGGTGTAACTTCAAAATAACAGCAATCAAATTCACTAATGCTATTGAGACAAATCACCGTATCAAATCATATAAAACTTAGTAACATAATTAACCTAGAACTTACTAAGATTAATGACATTGAGATAAATCACAGTGTTAAATCATAGCAACATACTAAGATCAGACACGTAAAGAGATACAGAGAAAAGAGATAGGTATGTACAAAGGTATCTTTGAATACCTGCCTCGAATTCAGTCGAATATTCACATCGAATGCTTTGCATCGCTGAACGGGTCATCAGCCGAGCCTCTGAGTTGATTGTGAACTTGAGGGTTCACGAACTCTGAGAGGCGTCCCACTCAGAGGGAGGTGCCAGTCGCAGCCCGCTGCGGTCCAGGAGAGCTATAAGGGTCTCACGTGGGACCACTATTTATAGTATTGGGAGATTATTGACTTTAGGTATCAGTAAGCTTCCATCCTTGCTACAAATCATTTGTTGGTAAATGCTAGAATTCTTGACACCCCAGTGACACTGGTACTGATCCACCCGAATCACGGCTAGATAAGATATGTCTGGGGATGGTGAGATACTCCCATCTATGCAAGCACACTTGGTACAGTCAAGGGGCCTTAACCACCAAACTCTGCTCCAAGGCCAAGGCTTATCGAGCAAGGAGGGTGGGGGGAAATGCACTACCACGACCTGCTAGCCAAACGTCACTGCCCCTCTCTGGGGCATCATCTTCAAAAGATTTAAGGTTCCTGCCCTCACATCTGCCATTGCAAAAGTTCTTGCAGAAACATTACTCTTCAAATACTTAAAAAGTTCTTCTAACTTCCAATCTACCTTTGCCCGGTACTAATTCAACTCTCTCGCTGTTTCTCCACTGCAGTCCCTCTGCATAAATAGGTCTTTCCCTCCTTCCCCAATGTCCCTGTGAAAAGCCCCTGTAGTCTTTTTCGACAGCATAAACCCTTTATCTCTTTGCAGAATGTAAATACTTCAAGGACTCTGATAGTTGTTCTCTTCTTTGATTTAAGCTAATCGTTCTCAAACATATATAATAATCTTTCAGGTAAAATATCAATCTCATCATGAAATGGTGATACCTAATTTCAAAGACACAGATTGTCATGGTTGCTTGCATGGCAGTTTAATCACATCATAGACTGTCCTCCAGACATAAGAGTGGATTTCGGCAGAGGCAGTACTGATGGCCCTTTTATCATCAGGCAGTTATCGTATTAGAAATGAGAAAAGGCACAACCTAACCCACGGAAAGGAACCACCCTAACAGTTTTGAAGTATCCAAGTTTCAAAGGATGTGGGAGGTGATCTGGCTAACTACGGGAGGAGGGGAGGAGGAAGGACACCTGTACAGCAGAACAAGATAAAAGTTCAGGCAAAAACAACGAAAATAGTAAGAGTTATAGGGTGAGAAACAAGAAAGCAGAATAGGTCTGTTTAGCCTGGAAAAGAGATGACAGAAGGAACATGACAAAATTCCGCAATGCTGTAAACGGCATGCTTGAGGAGAACAAGGAATGATGGATCACTGATTCCAATCTAGAAGAAAAGCAGGGCAAAAAGTGAAGGTAGCAGGTAGCAGGTTAAGCAGAAACTGAAGGAATGTATTCTTCTTACAACAAATAGTTAAACTGGGGGATTCTTTGCTACACCGATTTGTGGATAGTAAACGATTTCAGGGATCCAGGCAGTGTCGCAGCTATTGTTAAGCTCTTTTGTCCTAAGGCCATGAAAAGTCCGGGCATTTCCAGGACACAAAAATAAGGTCTCTGTTGGCTTGTGTTTTGTGAGCAGCTGAAGAAATCTCCCCCATACACCAAATGAAACGAAGGAGGCAATAAAACAGAGCCGTTTGTTTCACAAAGTATGCCGACTCAATCTTCTGATCCTCGTGCTGCTGATTTCATATCCTAGATTGACCATAGGAATAGCAACGTCAGCATGAAAAAAAGGAAACTGT